CTTATCCTCCTCGCTTTCCTATCCTCACTCATCCTCCTAATCATAACTGCTCGCTCTCCTCCTCCTCCTCCACCTCCTCTCCTTCCTCTCCTCCTCCTTCTCCTCCTCCCTCCTCCTCCCCCTCCTTTCCCCCTCTCCTCTTATCCTTTCCCCTCCTTTCTCCTTCCTCCTTTTTTCTCCTTCTCTCCTCCCCCTTCTCCTCCCCTCTCCTCCATACTCCTCCTCCCCACCTCCTCCTCCTCCCCACCTCCTCCCCTCAACCTCCTCCTCCTCCACCTCCTCCTTCTCCTCCTTCCCTTCCCCATCCTCTCCCCTTCCCCCTCCTCCTCCTTTCCTCCTCCCTTCCTCCTTCCTTCCCTCCTCCCCACCCTCCTCCCCCCTCCCCCTCCACCCCTCCTCCAATCCCCTCCCCCTCCTCCTCCTCCTCCACCTCCTCCTCCTCCTCCACCCCCCTCCACCTCCTCCCCCCCACCTCCTCCCCACCCCCACCCTCCCTCCTCCTCCCACCTCCCCTCCCCACCCTCCTCCTCCCCCCACCTCCCCTCCCCCTCCACCTCCTCCCCCACCCCCCACCCCTCCTCCCCCACCACCTCCTCCTCCTTCCCTCCTCTCCCCTTCTCCTCTCCTCCTCCTCCTCCTCCTCTCCTCCTCCTCCTCCCCCTCTTCTCCTCCTCCCCTTCCCCTCCTCCTCCTTCTCCTCCTCTCCTTCTCCTCCTCCCTTCTTCCTCCTCTCCTCCTTCTCCTCCTCCTCCTCCTCCTCCTTCTCCTCCTCCTCTCCTCTCCTCCTTCTCCTCCTCTCCTCTTCTCACTCTTCCTTCTCCTCCTCCTCCTCCTCCTTCTCCTCCTCCTCCTCCTCTTCCTTTCCTCCTCCTCCTCTCATCCTCCTATCTCCTCCTCACTCCTCTCCTCTCCTTTTCTCCTTCCCTCCTCTCCTCCTCCTCCTTCTCCTCTTCTCCTCCTCCTCCTCCTCTCCTCCTTCTCCTCCTTCTCTCTCTCCTCCTTCTCCTCCTCACTCCTCCTTTCTCCTATCTCTCTCCTTCTCTCCTCCTTCTCTCCTCCTCTCCTTCTCCTCCTCCTCCTCTTCTCCTCCTCCTTCTCCTCCCTCCTCCTCCTCATTCTCCTCTCCTCCTTCTCTCCTCCTCCTCCTCCTCCTCTCTCTCCTCCCTTCTCCCTCTCTCCTACCTCTCCTCCTCCTCCTCCTTCTCCTCCTCCTCCTCCTCCTTCTCCTCCTCTCTACTTCTCTCCTCCTCCTCATCCTCTACCTCCTCCTCCTCCTTCTCCTCCTTGTCTTGTGTGCGAGTGTGTGGCTTATAATTGTTTTGAGTCAGAAGTCGGCAGCTGTCAAAGTGACATATTGTCTCATTAGTCACGACCCCTACCGCCTGTCAAAACAATGGGGTCGGATGCTGCTTCCCCTCCTCCATTCTATCTAATTATCTTTCTCCCTCATTCTATATCTTTCAATCTGTCTCTCTTTCTGTCTGCCTATCTCTGTCTCACAGGTACACATAAATACAAGTATACATAGTGTAAATTACCTAGGATAACCCAAGAAATCCAGACAAAGTGCTATACTCTGCTTGAAGATGTGAGTAAAAGTGATGACACAGTCTTGTGGCTCTCTCTGAGACAGAGAGCTAGATGGACAGACAGGGAGCTTGACAGACAGAAATGTTTGTGTACCAGCAAAAACAAAGGGAGGGCGATGGTCATGTAATATTTCCTTAGCACTACCCTCGTTTACACTCATCAAAGTCAGCTCTTATCAGATTTTATCTCCCCTTATCTTGTCACTGTCATGGGGTGGACTTTTTTTTTTCTTGCTTCAAAGGAACAATATTATTACATCATCATCTTCTTCCTCCTCCTCCTCCTCCTCTTCCTCCTCCTCTTCTCCTCCTCCTCCTCCTTTTCCTCCCCTCCTCCTCCTCTTCCTCCCCTCCTCCCCCTCCTCCTCCTCCATTGCTTTTGGTCTCAAACTCCACCAAATCATGAAATTGATCTTCACTGACACTTCCATCTGTGTTAGAGCATCACTTGGGAAGAGAAGAGTCCCAGATTTGCTGGGGAATCACATATTTCTTACCGCTAGACATGCTGAAAATGGACAACTGAAATGGCATTCCCACAATGCACCACTGGCTCCCCGATTTTTTTTATATGGTGCACACTGACCATGGAGACCCATTCTCTCACATGTGGGCCTACCAGCTTTCTCCTGCTTGATTTGAAGCTGCTAGAATTTATGTGTATAAATAATTTATACGTCAGAAACATTGGCTCGTAAGAAGTATTTATACGTCGGAAACAGTCAAAGGGTTAATGCCACTAGGACCAGCTTCAGAGTCACTGGACTTCTGTCGCACAACATATCTGTCCATAGATACCTGTACCTCTCGTTCCTTTATGACTTTCCTAATGGAAATATAAACACATATGCAGTATAATGTGATCCTTTATTGACTACGTTTCGCCCACACAGTGGGCTTTTTCAAGTCACAAACAGACCTGTTTGTGACTTGTTGCTGGCATTTTTTTTATTAAATCGTCATGCAAATTCCTAGTCTTTTCATATATGATCGCTTGAGAGATGCTGTCTCCTGCTATCTGTTTCTCGTTTATCCACACCAATAACAGTCTCTCAACATCTTCTATCACTTGCGATCTCAGTTTCGAAAACATAGTTGCACCTTTGGCAAGAACAGCTTCCTTGATTGCCGTTTTCTTGCCCACAATAGTAGCGATGGTTGATTGGGGTTTATTATACAACCTGACCAGCTCAGAGATACGCACTCCACTTTCAGGTTTATCAATGATCTCTTTCTTCATCTCCATAGTAATTCTCATCCTGTTTGCTGTAGGGTTGGCACTAGAAGCTTTCTTGGGGCCCATGGTGACTTATTTTGCAGGTGCAATCACTAAAAAGGCTGTGATAATATGAAATGTTCCAGTTGTATGTTTGGAAGCGACCGCGGTGGCTGACTGGCTTGTAAACACTGGAACCGAAGGGACAAAAGATGCGCGCTCAGGCCAAAGTGGACGCGTATGGTACGGAACGAATAGCGCTGGTCAGGTTTTTAAGCGCTAGTCGAGGCAAAATTTTTGCGTTAAAATGCATCGCTGGTCAGATTTATCGTTAATCGATGCCATCGCTGGTTGAGGGTCCACTGTACTAGTTTGTGAGTTTAGCAATGTGGATGCTTTTGTTTTTGCACAATACATAGTTTCAGTATTGGAGTATTACAGGCCTACTTATGACTAGTTAGGATTGATTCATTATTTTAAGATTAAGATTGATATTTCTGTGTTTATGGTCAAGTGGGTGAGTAAGTGTGAACCACCAGGTGGTATTCATGTAATTAGTTGACGGGGTGTATCAGGGAGATAAGATGTTTTCTAATGGTAGTTTTGAAGGTGATTAATGTGTCTGCAGTTCTAGAGTATTCAGGGAGGGTGTTCCCGATTTTAGGGCCTTTGACATACATTGAATTTTTGTAAAGGTTTAGTCGGACATGGGGAATGTCATAGAGATGTTTGTGTCTGGTGTTATGCCTGTGGGTTCTGTCACAACTATCAAGAAAGCATTTTAGGCCAAGGTTAATATTGGAATTTAAGGTCCTGCAGATGTAGAGTGCACAATAGTAAGTGTGGATGTACTGAACAGGGAGTAAGTTTAGATCTATGAAGAGTGGAGGGGTGTGTTGCCAGGGATGGGATTTAGTGATTATTCTTACTGCGGCTTTTTGTTGGGTTATTATTGGCTTTAGGCGAATTGCTGCAGTTGATCCCCAAGCACAAATAGCATAGGTGAGGTATGGATAAATAAGTGAGTGGTATAGTGTAAGAAGGGCAGTTTGCGGCACATAGAATCGTATCTTGGAGAGGATCCCAACCGTTTTGGATACTTTTTTGGTTATGTGTTTCATATGGGTGCTGAAATTCAGGTTGTTGTCGAGGTATAGGCCAAGGAATTTGCCCTTATTATGTCTGGCAATTAGAGTGTTGCCGATCTTAATGTTAATTTGCGCAACTCCTGCTCTGCTACCAAACATAATACATATAGTAGATTTTGTCAGTGTTAAGCGTAAGTTTATTGGCTGTCATCCAAGTCGATATTTTGTGCAGCTCCTCGTTAACAATGGTGTTGAGGGTGGCAAGATTAGGGTGAGAGATGACATAAGTCGTGTCGTCAGCAAAGAGAATGGGGTTCAGGTGTTGGGATATGTTTGGAAGATCACTGATGTATATGAGGAAGAGCAGGGGACCAAGGACACTTCCCTGCGGAACTCCAGTATCAAGTGGCCGTGTTGATGATGCTGTGTCTTTAATGGTGACATACTGATACCTATTAGTAAGGCAGGATTTGAAATATGCAAGCGCATGGCCTCTTATACCATAATGGTCAAGTTTGTGGAGTAGGATGCCGTGGTCTACTGTGTCAAAAGCTTTTCTCAAGTCAATAAAAATTCCTAGTGGATATTCCTTATTTTCCAATGCTGTGTAAAGCAGATCTAGCATTTTTATAATTGCATCATTAGTGCTTTTATTTTTCCTGAATCCAAATTGGCAGGGGTTGAGTATGTTTTGTGCCGTTATAAATGAATATAGTCTCCTGTGCACGAGTTTCTCAAAGATTTTGGATAGCAATGGTAAGTTTGATATTGGCCTACAGTTGTTTAAATCTGTAGGGTCACCACCTTTATGTATTGGTGTAACCCTTGCTGTCTTGAGTAGTTTCGAGAAGGTGCTAGTTTCTAGTGACTTGTTAAAAAGTAATGAAATAGCATGCACACTTATCACACAAACCCATTGTCTTATATCTAGGCCAAAATTTACCACTCACAGCTTATATGAGTGAGCTGAGCTCATGACAAAACTGTGTGAGGGACCCTGGCCTCAATGATGTAGTACTATGTGATGGTCAGTGAAAGGGTTAATAAGATGAAAATCAAAATAGTATTAGCAATCCTGGGTGCAATATTCACCGAAACTCAACTCACCTATCATCTGGATTAATTTTGAGTGTGCACTGAAATGCCTGAATGGCCTGATCATAGCCATGCAATGCAAGGTGATGCAGTCCAAGCCTGAGCCAGGCCCACCCGCATGAGGAACGCCCACCCTCGCTTGTAACACGGTGCAACAGATGAATGTTGGCCTCCTATGAAGAAATATAAACAGTTTTCAGTTTAGAAGTAACAGGAAAATGCAGTCATGTAAGAGAGGTATCAGAATAAAAGGAAACTAATAATTAACAAACAATGTCCATAGGAAAAATGTAATTCACTTAACATATTTCTCACTTAACTTGCCAACTGTCTGGTTTCTATCAACACTGTTCAGAAAGGGGTCAACTGTAGTTACATCTGAACACCTGCATCTCCTTAACAATTTTTTAGCTTATTCCATGAGTAAATATATTATCTTGGTATATACAGCCTCTCCTCACATAGTGACATACTCATTTACTGACGACTCAGATTTACAACAGGCTCTTTGACCAGGATGCATACCTAAATAATGTATATTAGAGCTTATATCCTTTGCACCATGTTATGAATGGTGCAAAGGTGACATTAAAACAATATCAAAGTTAGCCGACACAGACCAACTACCATTATAGTGTGCTCCTCGCTTAGCGATGAATTCATTTATCAACGTGGTCTAAGGAACAGAACTCCGTCGTTAAGCGAGGAGAGGCTGTATTGACAATTTACTTAGAATTTTATTATGTCCATACAATAGGGACCCACTTGAAATAAAAAAAATGCTGTTTGATGTTGTTTGATTATCCCAGGTTAAATATGCAAAATTTGTCACCAATCTATATGTTGATTATCTAAATAATACTAAAAGTGGAGAGCAACATATTTTGTAGGTTTGTAGACAGAAACCACCAAGGAAGCACTACTGTCCTGCCGAGTGTAAGACAAACCTGTATCTGTTTTACATAATGGTAGGATTGCTGATGCCTTTTTTTCTTCCTCATAAACACAAAAGATAATAGGTATATCTTGCTACTTATACTTACAGTTAGGTCACACTACACATGTATATACGCATTTATGAATGTACACACACTCATTTGAGTTTTCTTTCGTTTTTCTTAATAGTTCTTGTTCTTATTATTTTCCTTTCACATCCATGAGGAAGTGGAATAAGAATTTTTCCTTCGTAAGCCATGCATGTTGTAAAAGTCAACTAAAATGGCGATAGCAATGGGCTAGTAACTCCTTTTTCCATACAGCTTACTAAAAATAAAAATAAAACCCTTAAGTTGGGATGTTTGAAAGTATGTGGATGTAGTCCAGATGACAAGAAAGAGATGATTGTGTATGTTATGAATGAAAAGAAGCTGAATGTCCTGGCTCTAAGTGAAACAAAGCTGAAGGGAATAGGAGTGTTTCAGTGGGGAGAAATAAATGGGATTAGGTCAGGGGTTTCTAATAGAGTTAGAGCTAAGGATGGAGTAGCAATAATGTTGAAGAATCAGTTATGGAAGGAAAAGAGGAAATATAAATGTATAAATTCAAGGATTATGTGGAGTAAAATAAGGGTGGGATGTGAAAAGTGGGTTATAATAAGTGTTTATGTACCTGGAGAAGAGAGAAGTGTAGAGAAGAGAGGGAGAGATTTTGGGATATGTTGAGTGAATGCATGGGGAGTGTTGAACCAAGTGAGAGAATACTTGTGGTGGGGGACCTAAATGTTAAAGTGGGTAAAACTGTTGTGGAGGGAGTAGTAGGTAAGTTTGAGGTGACATGGGGAAATGAAAAATAGGGGGCCTTTAATTGAGTTATGTATAGAAAGAGGTTTGGTAATAAGTAATACATATTTTAGGAAAAAAAGAGGAGGGTTAGGAGATCAAGAACCTTGCAAATGTTGAAAAATTATGAATGTTTGGTGGCCCAATATATTGTAGGGAAATATAATACAATACTGCTTCCTTAACCTATTAAACCATGAACAATCATAAAACACACAAATAAGAAGGTAAAGAAGGTGAGAAAAACTATAGAATTCAAGAGAGAACTCGTAGCAGTGGAGGAAGACGAGAAAAGGGAGAATGTGCCTTCTTCAGTGATTCTATGATATGCACGATACTAAAGCAGCATAAGTCGATAGACTACAGCACCAACCAGCAATAAAGTGTAGCATTAACAGTGTAGCAAGTAAGTTAAGCGATTAATCGTTAGAAAAAGGACAGCACAATCCTAACTCCTTCAATGTTGTTGGAGTTACACAGGCCGATGGACAACACCGCCGTCTCTAGCCTCTACTGCCTCTGATGCCGCCTCCACCACCACTATGGCTTATGTCTCAGAGGCCCTTATACACCCAACAACAACAACAACACAGCAACACTCGTGACATACTTAATGACGTATTTTATTCATTCTAAAGTACGTATATGTCAAGTTACTGTTATTAATATTGCTTATTATGTCATATTAGATGAATTGTGATAGAAAAATAAGCTGTAGAGTTGATATTACAGTGGACCCTCGACCAGCGATGGCATCGATTAACGATAAATCTGACTAGCGATACATTTTATCGCAAAAATTTTGCATCGATTAGCGCTAAAAAACTCGACCAACACTATTCCTTCCGTCTGAGACGCGTCCACTTCTGGCCAGTGTTTACAAGCTAGCCAGCCACCGAGGTCGCTTCCAAGCATACAATCGGAACATTTCATATTATCACAGCCTTTTTAGTGATTGCACCTGCAAAATAAGTCACCATGGGCCCCAAGAAAGCTTCTAGTACCAACCCTACAGCAAAAAGGGTGAGAATTACTATGGATATGAAGAAAGAGATCATTGCTAAGTATGAAAGTGGAGTGCATGTCTCCGAGCTGGCCAGGCTGTACACAAAACCCCAATCAACCATCGCTACTATTGTGGCCAAGAAAACGGCAATCAAGGAAGCTGTTCTTGCCAAAGGTGCAACTATGTTTTCGAAACTGAGATCGCAAGTGATAGAAGATGTTGAGAGACTGTTATTGGTATGGATAAACGAAAAACAGATAGCAGGAGATAGCATCTCTCAAGCGATCATATGTGAAAAGGCTAGGAAGTTGCATGACGATTTAATTAGAAAAATGCCAGCAACTAGAGGAGATGTGAGTGAATTTAAGGCCAGCATAGGTTGGTTTGAGAGATTTAAGAATCGTAGTGGCATACATAGTGTGATAAGGCATGGTGAGGCTGCCAGTTTGGACCAAAAAGCAGCTGAAAAATATGTGCAGGAATTCAAGGAGTACATAGACAGTGAAGGACTGAAACCTGAACAAGTGTTTAATGGTGACACTGACAATGTTGTGAAACACGTTAGGAATGTCATAAAGGAACAGGAGGTACAGGCCTCTATGGGCAGATATGTTGTGCGACAGAGGTCCAGTGACTCTCAAGCTGGTCCTAGTGGCATTAAAAGAAGGGAAGTAACCCCGAAAAAGGACTTGCCACCTCAAGTCCTAATGGAAGGGATTCCCCTTCTAAACACTAAGACCATCAACACACTCCCCTCTTCCCATCCCATCATTCATCACCAGATCTTCAATAAAGGTAAGTGTCATGTAACTGTGCATGTCTTCTTCAGTTTGTGTGTATTAAAATTAATATTTCATGTGTTAAATTTTTTTTTTTTCAATACTTTTGGGTGTCTTGCACGGATTAATTTGATTTCCATTATTTCTTATGGGGAAAATTAACTTGACTAACGATTATTTTGACTAACGATGAGCTCTCAGGAACGGATTAATAGCATCAGTCGAGGGGCCACTGTACTCTCATATTGAAGGACTATTTTGTCCTATCTCCAAATAAACTGCCACTGCCACAATTCCTGAGATATGTAATGACATATTTTAAATGTGACTGGACAGCTGGGAATTCATGAATGTTCGAAGCCCGCGAAATTGGAAAACGCAAATGTTGAGGGAGACCTGCATACAAGATAAATAGCACATAATGAAAGTAGTTTGTTACATTACGTATAGATGGGTAAAACATTAACGGGTAGACTTCAGGATATGCATGTTTATAGGGGGGGTTGTAAGAGAAGTGAATGCTAGAGTCTTGGCAAGAGGTGTGGAATTAAAACATAAACAATGAAACACAAAGTGGGAGTTGTCACAGTTGCTCTTTGCTGATGACACTGTGCCTTTGGGAGATTCTGAAGACAAGTTTCAGAGGCTAGTGGATGAATTTGGTAGGGTATGTAAAAGAAGAAAATTAAAACTAAATATAGGAAAGAGTAAGGTTATGAGGATAACAAAAAGATTAGGTGATGAATGATTGGATATCAGATTGGAGGGAGAGAGTATGGAGGAGGTGAATGTATTCAGATATTTAGGAGTGGACATGTAAACAGATGGGTCTATGAAGGATGCCGTTAATCAGAGTTTCTTTTTTTTTTTTACAAGTCGGCCGTCTCCCACCGAGGCAGGGTGACCCAAAAAGAAAATACTTTCATCATTCAACACTCACCTCACTCACACATAATCACTGTTTTTGCAGAGGTGCCCAGAATACAACAGTTTAGAAGTATATACATATAAAAATACACAATATGTCCCTCCAAACTGCCAATATCCCAAAACCCTCCTTTAGAGTGCAGGCACTGTACTTCCCATTTCCAGGACTCAAGTCCGGTTACATAAAATAACTGGTTTCCCTGAATCCCTTCACTAAATATTACCCTGCTCACACTCCAACAGCTCGTCAGGTCCCATATACCATTTGTCTCAATTCACTCCTATCTAACACGCTCACACACGGTTGCTGGAAATCCAAACCCCTCGCCCACAGCACCTCCTTTACCCCATCCCTCCAACCTTTTCGAGGACGACCCCTACCTCGCCTTCCTTCCCCTACAGATTTACAGTGGACCCCCGCCTAACGTTGGCATCGCATAACGTTAAATCCGCCTAGCGATACATTTTATCGCTAAAATTTTGCCTCGTCTAGCGCTAAAAAACTCGTTCACCACGATTCGTCCAAGACGTGTCCATGTGCGGCCTGAGCCAGCCTCACTTGTTCTGCCGGTGGCATTGTTTACAAGCCAGCCTCCGCGGTAACATCCAAGCATACAATCAGAACAATTCGTATTATTACAGCGTTTTTAGTGATTTCACCTGCAAAATAAGTGACCATGGGC